CCGAAAAAAAAACAAAAGGAAATAGATGAAATCCCGTATTATGGCTGATAGGTGAATATGGTTATTTCTGGCTTGTAATTCAGATAAAAATCAAAGACGGATATCTTCAAGAATAGGAAAAGAACATGTCACACTTTTTGACCTACAAAAATGTGTATCCCTTAAAAAAAGTATTCCCAAATGTACTTTTGAGGACAATTAAGAAAATGAAAAGTGAGCTCCCGATACCAGTTTAAGCTTTTAGATGAGATAGTCACACACTTCAATATGGTAGATGAGGTCCTAGGTTCGAGTCTCACCATCATCTATTAACAGATAGTAATTTCACGTGCTTGGCTCATGAAAAAGAATCAAGCCTTCATGTGAAGGAACGTGTTAAAGACATAACTGAGAAAATAAAAAATGTGCTATATAACAGCTTAAACTATCAAATGAAATAGTCACACACTTCAACATGTACAACTTACCAGCCAAGATAAACACTTAGGCAACAGGATTTGGTGTCTTTAATTACTAGAAAGCCATTTAAAGGAACATCATATAAAACACATCTTAGTACAGTTTGAACCTGCAGCTTTTGAGTCACATAATTGTGATAATCCATAATGAATAAAGCACTGTAACACCATATTGAAAATCCGAACCTGAACCAACAAATTGCATGCCATAGACAGAAGATCTTCGCCATACATACTCTCTTGAGCATCCAAATCTTTTGACAGTGGGAGATTTTCACAGTACAATTGTGTCATCTTTACGGCCGTTGTCTCCAGCTCTAGAAAAGAAGAATGTTAATACTCTAGCTTATGCACCAAAAATGGGCTTTGCACAGATGTTGACTTTCTCAAAAACATAACTTCATGAAATGATTAGATGAACTGAGATGTCAAAGCTTCTTACATGATTAGTGACACATTATGCTCGGCCACAAAACTATAGATATTCAAGATAAACAGGTCGATCTCTCTATACGAATTTGCAAAACAAAATGTCTACACAGTTTTCTTAAACATGGTCACTGATTTCATTGAAAGAAACAGTAAAAGGATTCCCAACTAAAATGTCATTAAAGTAATTCTCGAGGTACATGTATACAATCCACACTACAGGCTAGCACCCTTTAAACTTTGGTTTCCCTTTAAACTATTGATAACTATGATTATACCTGTATACAATCTACAATATAGGCTAGAACCATTTGAACTATTGATAACCATGATTGGTGCAAAGCATTTACTCTTTCCATCAAGAGAGCTGCAGACTCAAATTACTATTTTGGGAAACACCAAACGAAGTCCACTTTTCTCGAAAGGTTCCAACTGCTGTATTTAGACCCCACTTATGGGATTAAACTGGGTTTGTTGTTGTAATTGTTGTTCCAACTGTTGTATTTCTTCTCCTTATAGATAATGTCTAATATAGCATCTCTAATTTGGTAAATATCAAAAATCCGTCACATGCATACTTTTGTCACTTGCCATAAAAAATAACAATTTCAACTGTCATCTTAAATAAGTGGAGTGAAGGCAAATGTTGACTGACGATGTAAGAAAAAAGTTGAATTGAACTCCACACACTATCCCCCCACCCCCACCACCCCCAACCCAATTAGGA